CCAACACCTAGGAATATGGGGCTCCAGCCTATCAGATTGTGGGAAAAACAGAGAGGGAAGAGAGAGTTTCAGTCCCAGCAGAGAACTAGAGTATAATGCAGGAAATGGAAGCAGAATTCCCTCCCCCAATCATGACACATTTTTATTTCCAGAATAAGCCAATATGATGGAAGGTTAGGGGAAAAAAACTAACACAAAATGTAGTTATCATGGGTTTAACACTCAGCATATCCAATTCCGTACTTAATGTTGGATGTCTCATATCAGACCTGATTGAGTATGTCAGTAGTACCCCCAATATTCTACTTCCCTACTCAGGGTCAGGACACGGTCTGACTGGAGCTCACTCTGATAGTGATCCTCTATGTGATTGTGATGCTAAAAGTCTATTAATGTGGTATCTTGTAGCACCCAATCTAAGCCAGCTAATATTTACCTTGAAGTTCTGGGATTTCTAGCCCTCACAGTGAAGTTTCACACACACACACACACACACACACACACACACACACACACACACGACTCATTTTGAAACTTTCAGTGGCTTCCATTTTGTTTTAAATCATCATGCCATGTCATATATATAAGTCATTTATATATAAATAGATAAAAAAAAAATTTCTTGCCCACTCAGGTATCTTGCCCCATAAGACTGAGAAGGTAAGCCAAAGGTACCCCAAAACAGCTCATATGTTATTTTTGCCATATTTTACCTCCTATTTAACTTGACCTACTGATAGCTGCTTGCCTTATGCTTGTGTTCCAAGTCAGCTGAAATCCTTAAACAATTTCTAGCCCCATGAGTGTTATTGTTCAGTTCTTGCTGTATCTAGTTCACTTGATGAACTAGCTGGTTTCTCTTCTTTTCTACCTTTCTTCCTAAAAGTTTATGTACTAGATTCAGTTTTTTGACCTTCCCACTGGTTAACCTACATTTCTCAGACCTAAGCTTCAGAGAGAGTGCTCCTGGCTGCCTCGCTACTCTACCTCCCTTGCGAATACCTTGCTTGAGGAGGCTTCTTCGCTGTAGCTGGCTTTATGACCGCTTACCCACTTATGTCAGAGGTATTTGCCAGATCTGGCCCTTAACAAATATCAAGAAGTAAACACATTAGTCATAATCAATGAACTCCTTGGAAAATTTGCATTTATTATTTCAGACTCTTTATTATTTAGATTCTCTGCATAGCAAGCAACAAGCAAGCAAGAAGTTTATCTATTACTAACATAAGCAAAATTATTGATGTAATATAAGAATATTTGGGTATTCCATGGAACCCAAGGACAAGAACATGGCTGAAATTCATGAATAACTTGATCTAATAATTTATGGTTTATCAGTATTCTCTCTGCTTTCTTCTTGCTTCTCTCTGATTAGCTGTATTCTTCCCTCTTGCTGTAAACTGGCTTTCTTCACATGGATGAGAATATAGTATAAAAGGCAAACCATTTGCCTCTAATAGTATGGTTCACCAAAGAAAGATTGATTTTCTTAATACTTTATAGTTTCAAAAATCCTTACCTAGATTAACGTAAGACAAGCCTTGAAGCTTCTGATTAAAAGGAGATGTTTTTCAGATTTGTTATGAATCTTTTTCTAGCAAATGAAAATAATTAAAGAAGGAGAATAGAATCTGCTGAGTCACCAGTGTGATTTAGGGGTCCAATTAAAAAGGATATCCAATATGAAGAGAGGGCATTTTGGGGCAGTGTGGAGTGTGGAGAAAAAGCTTGGAGGAAACCATCAAAGTAACCAGGAAATTGATTTTTAAGACTCAGAAACCAAACTAGATCAAACTAGGCATGGCCTCTCTTTATTGCAAAAGTGAACAAAGAGACAGGAGCCAGGCCAAGCTAAGGGAAGATCTGGATTTATCAACTGAGAAGAAGAACACACTCTTGGGCCATGCCTGGTTGGTAACTACTACACTTTTGTTACCACTTTGGATTTTTGTTCTCTACTGATGTATGTGTTGTTGAGTGCCTAAAAGATTCCAAGAAACTTCTGTTAAAATAGACTGGGACAGTCTGTGAGGATCCTGGAGCAGAGCAATGGGAGAGTCTTCAGAGAGCCTGGTGTAGCAGTACGGTGGGGCAGTATGTTATTCAGAAGACCCACCATGGCATCTCCTTGACACTCACAGCAGGGAGTGGTCAATGTCAGATATATGTGATATATGTGTGTGTTCACACAATCCACACATCCTATTTGTTCATGTATTTTTATTGACTTTTAGAGATGGACGTATTAATTGTGGCTTCTGGATCTTTTTAGCACCAAGAAGGAGCAATGAACTTTTCACATAACATAGCCTCCAAATAACATAGATCTTTTATTTCAAGATTCACAGACTCCACATCTGGCAGTTATGAAATTATTAATTACTATTTTATAAAAGCTGAATTTAGTTAAGTAATAGTGACCAAATAAAGAAAGAAGATGATACTAGATATTGGAAGAATAGTCACGGTTTTGTTGGTAGCATATAGATTTTGGAGTTATCTTAGAAATGCTCTACAAAGCTTACAGAGGTATATTACTTTCCTTTATACCCTCATCTATACTTCATCACTACATTTAGCCAATAATTCCTAAGTACTTATTGATCTCCTTCTATGTGCCCAAGTGCTATGGAAAATTCTAGAGAAGTATACAATTTTTGTCAATTTTTAAACATAGAGTCTTATTGGAAAGACCAAATTTATGTAGAGAAAGTGGGAAATAACAATATAAACATATAAAAATTTTAAATGGTATTGCATAGGAAATGGAATTCTGTATAAAATTCATTCCCATAACACATTCATATAATCTTTAAGAAGAAAAACAAAAAATGGGACAAAAGTTCCAAATAAAATCAATACATATTTTTTGACCAAAGCTATAGTAGATAATAGGGGGAAATACAAGTACTGGGTGTGATATTCAGAGTTTTTGGTCCAGTCATGGATATAAGGCACACTTTTGTGAGTCATGGGAACCAAACAAAAAGCATAGGAAAGATGTCATCAAAACTAAAAACATAAAAAATAAAAAATAAAAATATATATTAAGGTTTCACCAGATTGCTTTAAACATTTAACCTGCAATATCCTGAGACATCTCTTGCCTTCAGGGTGGTCTTTGCTTTGTCTCGGTCTCCTGTGATGTTCTAGTGTAGGGCTCTCATGTCCCTGCAGGACTCTTGTGATAAAACCATCTAGATCCTGGGCTCATGGAGCAGCTTAATGGGGAAATGGTAATCATTAATAAATGGTAATCATTGTTTTATTGCCTTTGACGTGAGAGTTTGTCTTAGAACGCATGACCTAATCAGGACTTTTGAGTGTAATTATAGCCACGAACATAGCATTGAGGTCTCTGGGGTATAAACAGTTCACACACCATCCAACAATATATCTTTACAGTAGTCTATCTTAAAGGATGTTTACTACTAATAATACTTAACATTAATACTGAAATTCGCAGTTTACAAAGCACATCCAAATGTATCACCTCGTTTTATCTTCAACCTTTTCAAAAGTTGTTACTAGTAATCCCATTCTACAAGAATGAAAGTGAGTCAGAGAGGGATTGTGGACTTGCCCTGAGATCATACCACCAGGCAGTTGCTGAGCCTCCAAATCATGAGATCAGGAAGTTGCTCAACCAACCTTGAGCCCATGTCTTCTGACTCCAAACCTCATTTCCTTTTCACTATACCACAGGCCTCTTAACAAGCATTTTTTTGTGGGAGCCAGTGAAAAATGTCTTTTTCCAAAGCCCCATTTACCCACAAGATACTTCCCCTTGAGAATCATGAGTATACCATGAATAACTAGTTGATCCACTGTGTAGATATGGAGGCCAGGTTTATGTTGACCATGCCCAGTGTTTTTGGTTAAGACATGGAATTTTGTTTTGTAAAACCTGCTGGATTGCCATTTGTTTTATCATTTGATTAGGATTCCTCAGGCACAGATTGACATTAAAAAGCTGTTAACTCTGTTAACTCCAGAGAGCACAGCAAATGAAATGTCTCAAAACTTGAGCACTTTCCAAAACCACCGTGTCATATAGAACAGCTTTCAATTAATCATGATGAAAGTATTTCCTTTATCTAAATGAAATCTGTAATTTGCGACAAAGATTAAAGATCTTTTGGGGGATAAAGGGAAAGTTGCTGTGAAAATTCTAGAAACTAAAAAATAAAGATAGGTCTATTCAATATTCATGAAGTCAGACTGATGATGCAAATAGAGATTACAATCTTTTATTTTCTAATGACTTGGCTCGTAGTAACACTTCTATATCAGTTTTACACAGATCCCCACTAACTTTAAAGGGAATTACTGCAAATTGTATACACTTTTTTTTAAGAAAGAGAGTTTAGCGTATCCAATATGATTTTCTATCATCTTTGACTAATTTTTAATTTTCTATCTAAGGATTTCTAAGGTATATGATCAGAGGTGCATAAATGACAAAGAAGAGATATGATACAGCATGTACAATAAGTAAACATACATATTGATAAGTGAACTCTTTTTGCATTGAATCTTGCATACTCTCAAAAGGCAATTTAAAGAAAATAGCTGTGAATATTGGTTTAGGTTTAATTTTCTTCCTTGAAAGATAAATCAAGTTTCTTTAGCAAAGTCATTTTATAAATAAGTGTTACAAATTTTCAGTCTCACCCAATTCATTAGAAATCCTTTTCTCATATGCACAGCACAAATCCTCACCTCCTACACTGTTGTGTAGAATTTAAGAGAAAATGAATGTAAATTCTATAAATGCTTACTTCCTTTCTTTATGTGGTAAATGTGGCAAACAAATACTTGAAGTAGGAGAAGGTACAGGAACTCTGAACCATTTCATTTGTCCCCCTAACACTTGACACAGTGCTATACAGGTCCTCAAGAAATGCTTGTAGAGCTCTTTGTTAAATAAGTTAACAGAATCTGTATCAGAATACACTATTTGTTATTTAAAAATTTTTTCTACCTCTCTTTTTTAGGCCAGTCCTGCTCCTATAATTGTCAACACAGATACTTTGGACACAATTCCTTATGTAAGTATCATTTTTATTAAGTCTTTGTTTAAAAACTATGATAGAACTTAATCAGTTGAATTTAAAATTCAATACATATTTAGTTTTGCCCAATCTAAATAATCTTATGAAATGATGGGTGGAATTGGTTTTGTGAATTTTCTTTTGATATTTGGTAAATCTTGGTTTAGTCATACAAATATTTCCCTCTTTCATTCATGTTTTGTAAAGCACAAGGGCCCATAATGACAAAAAAAACCTGACAATTCCTTTCAAATAGTATTAGTTTGCTAGGAGGTTCACTCGAAAGACATGAGTTGCTAGTAGCAGACACGGGCTAACTTCTTACTAAAGGAATACTCATCCGTTTCTGCGATAGAGCCTAGAACATAAAGTAAGTGATCAATAAATATTTTGATGCATTTTATTGGGCTTCTAATAAGAACTGGAACAAATGTTTTGTGAGAATAATATCTCTCTATATATAATGAAATATATGGTTTTATAAAAGCGAGGAGCATGAGATAATAGGATCAGGCAGATCAATGGAGTCTAAGATTCTGTATGTACAAAACAGCTACTGTTAATAGCCAAAGTTCTTGAGGATAGAGTCTGGCTGGGCAGGGACGATTAGAGACTGGCACTAGGCCACAACGTGGGTGAGTGGTTGACCGCATGGAGGTCCAGCAAGGCTTTCTGTGTGGGCCCTAGCTGATGAGTAGAGGATAGTGATCAAGGAGGATAGGACAGCCACCGATCCATGCAGACAGGGGATATGAAACAGAGAAGAAGGGCTGCAGGGGTAACAGACAAGAAAAAACAGATTCCAGGCCTTGGATTAAATTGAGTAAAGCATGTGAAGTACTTAGAAAAATACCTGACACAGAGTAAGTGCTTGGTAAATATTAGTTATTCTCAATCTTGGACCGCAACCTCAAATGCCTACATGAACCGAGCAAGTCACAGAAACAAATGGAGCAGGTGGAGTGGGGACTGTGGGGAATAGAAAGCACATGGCACTTTTCGGGGGCAGCTGCCACTTGAAGCCTAGTGTTTTCAGATCATCCAGTTTTTCAAGAGAAGTTGCATATTTGAATTTTTATGTATATGTTTGCAATTTCTAAATACAGACAACTAATTTTTATAAGTTCAAACACTGTGTATGTCAAACAAAGTGTGCCTAGTCTGTAGGTTGCCTTTTGAGAAATGACTAGCACAAAGGAACTGGAGGTCCTGAGCAGGTTCTGCAAGCCAGCCGGCACTCAGCCACAGGGGAGCCGAGTGCTGGAACTGGAGTACAAGGCTGGGACTTGATTATAAGAACAAGTGACTAAAACTGGGACACAGGGTCAGGACGAGAATAACAGCAAGCTTGACTTAATGCTGAGTCACCTGAACTACTGATTTGGGCTCCTTAAATCTTTCTGAACAAGAATAGTTTGGGGCCTAACCGGAAAAGGGGTTAAGCTCACTTGTAGCAATCAAGTGGCCCTGGCGGTGGAAAGTAAAAGTCTCTGTAGAAGGAAACAAAGCAATATATTAATATTAAAGGCACCTATGTCCACTATTCTATGTCTCACTCTTCCTATCTTCCTTTACTTATCAAATACTTATATTGGGGTTACTGTATGCCCAATACTGTTTTAAGCACTTAATATATTTTAATTCATTTAATCCTCATAACAATTCTATGAGGTCGGACCTATTAATTACTCTATTTTACTGATGGGAAAACTGATCGTAAAAAGGTTAAGTAATTTGCTAAAGGACTCACAGTATGAGGCAGAGCCAAAAGTGAATCCACATAGCCTGGCTATAGAGTTGAGGTCTTATTTAACTTCTATTATGTTGCTATTTATGTTTCTTCCTTCCCTCCCTTGTTTTCTGTCTCTCAGTTTGGGAACACAGTTTACTTACTTATCCTTTGCTATATGTAGATTTGGATGGTGGACCAACTTGTCACAAAGGCTTCATTGCCCTTAGGATAGGGATCCATGCATATATTAAGAAATCCTATGTCCCAAACAAATCTCCTTATAAGAGCCATTAGCAAAGCAGGTGAGCAGTGCTTTGTAAAAGTAGACATGGAGCATAGAGGCTTGAGTTTGTAAATAAGACCACTTCCTTTTGGTGGATCTATATTATTTCAAAACCTTCTATTAGGTTTCTCATGGCTTAACTACAGATGCCCTCATGTGTAATTTATCAATAGGATCTAAGGCTCTTGTACAGATATGCTCAATTAATATTCCAACTAGTAAAATCAGCCACTTATAACAAATTAATCAAATTGCTCCCATTCTCCTAAATATTAGCTTTGCATCAGACTTGGAGTTCTTTGAACAGTTCTTTTTTTTTTTCTTTAATCTTCAACTTTTTCTACTTAATACAACCCACCATGTGCTTCCTTAATAGTTAGGATCTTTACAGAGATTTGCTGAGCAGTTTGGTATTGTGAAAATGTCCCAATTCTCATCATAGTGTGTTCCTTGGGCAATTCACTTAATCTTTCTGCACCTAAATTAATCTATAAGACAGGAATTATAATACATACCTCAGAGATTTCATGTATGAAATCATGCTTTGTTAACTTCTGGTCGATAGTAGTTTATGAATTAAACATTTTTCTAATAAACACTTAGGAAGTAACACATGCTAAACTCTGGGAGCATGGTAAATATGAACATCTTTACAAGAAATACGAATACATTATCTACTGAAAATGGCAGATTTAGCATACAGCCATTAATGTGGATACGCTTTGGTTCTTGGCATAGTCCCAACTCTCCCCTTTGTCCCTGACTCACTGGGTAACCTTGAACAAATCACTGTTCCTTTCACAGTCTATTTTCTCATTCCCCAGTGTTCTATACTTTGTTTTCCTCTTTTCTTTCTCATGTTCTAGTTGTTCACATAATTTCAGCTCTATTTAATGAAAAAACGATTTCAGAGTTCCCTAGGGCATTTTAGTCATGTTGCATAAGAACATTTCCTTTGTAATATTCTTAAAAATATTACCAAAATGACAAATTTTACTTAAAGTTCTCATAAAAATCTAATACAAATAAATGTATTAATTTTTCTGATTAGCAAATCTGATTTTAGATATAAATGGTTCTTGTGGAAATGATTCCTTGGCATACATGCAAATGGCAATTGAATCACTAAAGGAAATTTCTAGGGCCAAAGGGAATTTTTATGCAAGTGTCTAATGAAAGTACAAAAGATATTTAAAGGGATATCTTCTTTTCTTAAGAAGGTAAGTTCAGAGACATTAGAGCTCTGCCATTAATAAAGGGGTCACTGAGGTTCTTGTGCTTGAATGCCTCAAATAAACTCAGTTTGGATGATGTTATGATATTTTAGGGTTGGGTAGAACCTTGCATGTGGCACAGCCCAGCCTCTCATGCAAAGCAGGAATCCCTATATGAAAATTAAAATCATTCAAGGAGAGCCAAGGAGAGAGAAAAAAACATTTTCTCATTTCAGTATTCTCTAGTTTCTATTTTTCCCTCAATCTTTTTGTTTTTCCCCATTATATGTTGAATATTGTTCTATGCCAGGTATTGAAAATACTCTGTTTTCAGGGAGCTCAGAGTGATTAGAGCCTGCTTGTAATTTGTAAGCCCAGCTCCCTTAAGCTTGACTCAATCAAATGGTAGCATGTTACCCTCTGGGTACTCTGCAGCCAACTGACATGGAGCCCTCCGCTCCCTTCAGCAGACACTAAATTAAAGTTGTATATCAAGCACCATCCAAATAAATCCCATTCTTCCTGCTTTAGAAAAATAAAACTAATCAAAGATATTCTAGGATGCTTTATTCCCCCAATATTGTATAGTATTCATAGTTTGGTAATATTGTGACCCATTTTCTGGGAATACACTGCAGGAAGTGGCATACTTGAGAATCATGAGTTTTAAATCCTGTTAAGTAACTTGCAAGTCAATGCAAACCTCTCATTTTACAGATACAGATATTCTAGCTCGGTCTACCATTTACCATTTCCTCACGTGGCATTCAGTTTTTGGTGTGTAACCAACAACAACAAAATCAGTGCACATAACAATACGCATTTATTTCTCCTCTGTTTGCCAGTTAGAAGGCCAGCTCCTTTAGGATGCAGAATAGAGTAGTCCCACCTTATCCATGAGTGATATTTCCCAAGTCCTCCAGTGGATGCCTGAGACTGTAGTTAATACCAAACCTTATATATATAT